TAAAACTTTAACTATATAAAATATAATGAATATTATTTAAATATTATGTCAAATGACACTACAGTTGAAATTAAAATCAAGTAATTCATTTTAGTAATTAATAAATTGAAGTAATATCAATTATTTTCAAAAATTTACATGTGCTTTAATTTCATGTGTGTCGTTTAGTCAGCACATCAAAATAAGTGTAGCACAACAAAAGATTAAAACAATGTTTTAAAATAAAACGTAATTTGACACTTAAAGTGCACTTTTTAAAAGTGTACTTAAGTGTGTTAAAACAGTCATTGAAGTTTATTTGCTTAAGTACGCTTAACTTCACTTAAGTACACTTTAAGTGGCCTTTTATTTAGTTAATATTGTATTACAAGTACACTACAAGTGCACATTCAATACAATTAAGCACACTTTTTTTTACAAGTGTAAATATAGTCAATTCAATGTTGGTGGTGTTTTAGCTGGGATAAGTTTATCACTAGTATCACTATAAGTTTAGCATGCGCAATGGTTTGGTTGTTATTTAGTCAACCTGCTAGTTCCAGCCAGTTGCTAGAAACCAATACGAACAATACTTGAATATTGAAATGTAAATTTTTAACCCTCCACATCATCATCTTCAGATATTTCAGTCTTCAAATACTTAATGGCTGAGGTTAAAACCATGATGTTCTGGTCAATTTCCTCTAAAGCCATTACTTCCTATTTTCGTTGTTATTTAGTCAACCTGCTAGTTCCAGCCAGTTGCTAGAAACCAATACTAACAATACTTGAATATTGAAATGTAAATTTTTAACCCTCCACATCATCATCTTCAGATATTTCAGTCTTCAGATACTTAATGGCTGAGGTTAAAACCATGATGTTCTGATCAATTTCCTCTAAAGCCATTACTTCCTATTTTCAGTGGTTTGGTAATATGTGAGTGAGATAAACCAGCTAGAAAGATAGTAAGAAGACAAAGAAGGCTTGTGATTTCCATTGCTTCTGAATGTAGGAGGCGGTAATACACACTGACAGATCTAGAACAGCATGAACGGGGGATAGAGAGACGTGGAGTGAGAATGACAGAGGGATGCAGGGAAATCAAGGGATATGTTGCTCCTGCTGTTTCCTCTGGTGCTGTGAAGTGAACTAGATGGGCCGGCATCATCATTACACGCTGACTGTGAAATGACTGTTCCTTCTGATCAGCAGAATCACAGGCCTGTTCAGAGAGGAGTAGTAGCTTACTCAATATTATATGCAGTATGCACTGTGCACGCTTTGTTTAAACTACATGTGAATGCATTATGCATTGTTTTTAAACATTTTAAACTGTCATACACTGCTTTGTTGGTGCATGACCTCTTAAGTGCTATGAGCACATGCACTACTATGCTCTCAAATGTTGCATTTATTTGATAAAAAAAGCAGTAAAAACTGTAATATTGTTAAATAACTGTATTATTTATTTTAATATATTTATTACTTTTTACATTTATATAATGTAAATATATAATTTTGAATATATAAAAATGATAATTAATATATAATTTATTCCTGTGATGCAAAGCTGAATTTTCAGCATCATCACTCCAGTCTTCAGTCACGTGATCCTTCAGAAATCATTCTAATATGCTGATTTGCTCAAGTAACATTTTTTAATTATTATTAATGTTGAAAATGGTTGTGCTGATTTATATTTTTGAGTATTTTTTTTTTTTCAGAATTCTTTGATGAATAGAAAGTTCAAAAGAACAGCATTTATTTGAAATAACATTATAAATGTCTTTACTGCCACTTTTGATCAATTTAATGCATGAATAAAGTTGTTGATTTAATTTACTGTATTTTTTTTTTCAGGTTTTTTTTTTCACGGGTCCAACTGCATGCAAAATTAAAATAACACTGAAACAAAATTGATTTAAATTTGCATAGCAAATACCGATTTTACTTTGACTATGTAGAATTGTAAGGTTAATTTCATTCTATTTACATTTAACTTTTTTTTTCAAGTTTAAATATGTGCATATATGCATATGTGTATATGTTTTTTAATTGCTGATGCTGATATGTATATCAGAATTCTAATCCTGTTTATTTTAAAATTCTTTAATTTTATTTCAGTTTCTTAAAATCAAACTTAAAACCAATTAAGGATGACCATAAACTGCACTGGTCCAACTGCTGGTCCATAACATTGTCTGAAAAACAAAATTGATTGAAATTTGTATACTATATACTGATTTAGTGTGCAAACTTTGAACAATTATATGGCTAATTTAATTTCATTACATGCATTAGAATTGTTTTGTTCACCCTGCTGTCTGTCTGAATCTGAACAGACCTGTGACTAATTTCCGGGTTATGAACTTGCGACCCACCACTTTTTAAAGAGTGGTCTGCTTATTTCTCATTCTGTCTCTGTCAGAATGTGATGAGATGTTTTGTGGCATGATGATGATGATGATGCTAGTTTTTTAGCCTGTGGGTGATAAAAAAAAAAAAATTCCTATTATTGCTTTTATTTGTACATTGGATGCATTAGATGGAGTGAGAGAGAGTGGATGTGTGTGTGTGTTTTCATGTATGTCACCCTGTTCAATTTTAAAAATGTGTGTTCCATAGTTCCCGTTTGCTATAAAGTTTGACCTGTGTTTGACCCAATCCACACAATACTGTGCCCTTACAACACAGCCTTCTTGAGGGTTCAGGGTTAGGCTGAGTGCTTTCCGTACCATTTACGACACTCAGGCTTTTAGAAGACCTTTCCATGACCCCGCCGCTCACCTGCTCCCCCTACAGTTCACCAGCACTTCTGAGCAACCAACAAATCTGTCAAGATTAGCCGATTCATTTCTGTGAATCAGTTCATTTGGGTGCTTAAAGGGTTAGTTCACCCAAAAATGAAAATTAGCCCATACTCACCCTCAAGTCATCCTAGGTGTATATGACTTTCTTCTTTCAGATATATAAAAAAATGTCTTAGATCTTTCAAGCTGTTTAATGCCACTCAGCGGGTGTTGCATGCATCAGTCCAAAAGATGTGAAATGAAAAGCGCCCATCCATAAAAAAAAAAGTGTCTCACACGGCTCCCGGGGGTGAACAAAGGCCTCCTGTAGCGAATCG